GCCGCTGAGCATGTTTGCGTACCCTAAGAAGTTGCCGTTGCTTGTAGTGTCCCCTGCGGCGTCTGCGCTGACTACGACAACAGCGGCCGGGCTGCTCTCGCCGTGCTTCCACTCCATGCAGTCGATGCCGCACTTCTGCATCCGGTCTACTAGATCCTCAATGAGCGCTCGGTACGGCACCACGACCACCGTCACCCCAGCGTCGTCCATGCAAGCCGGCACGCTAAACAGCAAGCTCTTGCCTCCACCGGTCGGCAGCACGACGACAAGCGGCGTCTGCCCATCAATTACTGCGTGCAGCGCTAGCTCCTGCTCTGCGGATCAAAACCCAACGTCCTGCTGACCAAGCACTTGCTGCATTACCTTGCGGACTGCCTTCTCTTTCTTGTCTCTATGCAGCAACGCGGCTTCCCTGCCCTGATTATCCTTATTCCTGTCATCGTCATCGCTGTTGATGCCACTGCGCCCACGTTTCTTCGCCCTCCTCATCAGATTGATGTTGCCCATCCAAGTCCACTGCGGCGCTGCCTGCTTCCTATCCAGCCCTAAGAAGCGGTGCCACATCGCGCTGAGCGGACGGAACGCTTTAATCAAGCGCACGCTGAGATGCTTGACAATGTTAATTAGCACGCTGTAGTTGCCCACTCTAATTACTGTCGTCCTTGCGTTCTGCAGCTCCATCACGTCCTCCCCATCCTCGTCTACCTCAGCCTCGTCCACCTCGCCAACCTTGTCTTGATAGCCCTTGCTGAACCGCTCGCCTACGACAACTCAACCGATGCCAACAGCCGCGTGCCAGTAGTCGAGCGTGTGCAGCGGCACTCCCAGCCTCTTGCCAGTCTCTCGCCTCAGCGCTCGCGTCAGTCGATCAGTCCCCCACGGGCCCTGCTCGTCCGCCCACACGTAGTCGCTGAAGCTGCCGCCGAGCACCTGCACGGTGAGATACTCACGGAACGGCTGCAAGTACGCCAAGTACAGCACCATCACCTGCCCTAGCCGCGGCGGCAAGAAGCGCGGCACCACCTTCGGCTTGTCCCACTGCGACTGCGACTTGTGATAGCAGACGACCATCATCACCTGTCCGTCCATGACGAAGATGTTGCGGTCCTGCAGCAGCCCGTTGCGGTGCCGCATTGTCGTGATCTCTGACCCTCTGCCTGGCTGTCTAGACGTCGTGTGCACGCAGACTATTAGCAGCATCAAGAAGCGGTCCACGCAACGCAAGTATCGCTTGACATGCTTCACGTTCTACTGCCCTTCGCTTGACTGCAGTCTGCGGCCCTGCTCAGTCTGCTTAGCCTGCGTCAGCATCCACTCTAGCTTGTCCTGAAGACTATTGTCACAGTGCTGCACAAAAGACACGCCCTGCTGTTTAAACGTGACGTTGTTAACAAGTATATCCAGCTTAACAGCAAACTGCTCTTCTGCCCTTGTCACCTAGAACAGTTCCTCCCACAGCATCTGCTCTGCTTCAGACACCATGTCCTGCGCCATCTTGCAGAAGCAGCTGATGTAGATCCGCCAGCCGTGCAAGTAGAAGATCTTCTTGTCCTTTGACCAGTACGCGTTGCCTAGGTTGCCGGCCGCCAGCGCGACGTACTTGCCGTAAGCCAGCAAGCTGAGCGCCTCGCTCATCGGGCTGTACGAGCCGTCCGACAGATACTTCTCTCTGTGCTCCAAGAAGCGCTCACGATCCTCGTCAGTCTGCTCATCGCAGCACGCAGATGGGAGCAACTTCTCCACGCTAAGCACGCGCATGCAGTAGACTACGCCTGCTAGCATGTACAAGTAGTTCTTTGCTGTGCGCAAGCAATTTGTGTTGCTGTTGATGCCCAGCACAGCGAGAAAGTGAATAAGTCCGCTGCTGAACAGCTTGTCACCTGTTGTCGTGAAGAAGAATGATGTGAGCAAGTTTAGCAGCACTTTAAGCTGAGCGTCGCGCTGAGCGCTGCGCTGCGCTTCGTCATCAGCGTCAGCATCGCGGTCCAACATCTCCCACAGTGTTACTACGAGCTCCTTCTGCTCAACTGTCCAGCAGAACAGCTCTTGCGCGTCTTTCATCAAGTCCTTCTCTCTTCGGCCGCTGCTTAGGACGTTTGCCAGTTAGCTGCTGTCAGCATCAGAGAAGTCGTCGTCGTTGTTCTCTTCCTCTTCTTCCTCTTCCTCTTCCTCTCCTTCTAAGCCATCCTTGTTGCCCTCATCATCTTCGTCGCTGCCCTCGTTGCCGCCTTCCTGCGCCGCCATCCTTGCCTCTGCGTCAGCCACGAAGCGCAGAGCGTAGCAGACAAATTTGACCATGTAGCCAGCGTAGCAGGCCTAACTCTCTGGGTTCTGTAATCAAGCTATAGGCCGCTGATCAATCTCCTGTCGCTTCGCGCTCCTCAGCCACCGCCTTGTCTCTCGCGCAAGCGTCGACAGCCCCTTGACGCTTCTCTCCACCAGCAGCTCCGTTAGCTTCGCTGCCCGCCGCAGCTTCTCCTCACCTC